AAACCCCTGATCCCAAACCCCTGATCCCAATCTTTGATCCCACTCCCATGATCCAAAATCCCTGATCCCAAACCCCTGATCCCAAACCCCTGATCCCAAACCCCTGATCCCAACCCCTGATCCAAACCCCTGATCCCAATCCCTGATCCCACTCCCGTGATCCCAATCCTCGATCCCAACCCCTGATCCCAAATCCCTCTGATCCCAAATCCCTGATCCCTGTCACAGGGGGGCCCTGGAGGAGGATCCTGGCGGGAAATTCCCTGAAGATGACGTGGGAGAGACACAGGTGAGTGAGGGCACAGTTCCCAAACTTTGGGACAGAATTCCCAACTTTTTAGGGACAGGTAAACGGAGAGTTCCCAACCTTTTGGGGTAGAATTCCCAACTTTCTGAGGGACAGGTGGGGGCAGGATTCCCAAGCTATTATGAACAGGTAAAGGCAGGAATCCCAACCTTTTGGGACAGAATTCCCAAACTGTCTGGGGCAGAATTCCTAAACTTTTTGGAGACAGGTGAGGGCAGAATTCCCAACCTTTCTGGGTAGAATTCCTGAATTTTTGGAGCAAAATTCCCTACCTTTGTGGGGACAGGTAAAGGAAGAATTCCCGGCTTTTGGGGGAGAGGTGGGGATAGAATTCCTGAACTTTTGGAGCAGAATTCCCCTCATTTTGGGGCAGAATTCTTAAACCTTTTGGGGATGGGTAAAGGCAGAATTCCCAACTTTCTGGGGACAGGTGAAGACAGGATTCCCAAGCTTTCACGGACAGGCCAAGGCAGAATTCCTGACCTTTGGGGCAAAATTCCTGACCTTTGGGGCAGAATTCCTTCCCTTGGGCTCTCTACCCCCAGGACCTGGATGACCTGGATGCAGAAATCCTGGGAATCTCCAGATCCAGGCCCAGGCTGGCAGGAGCTGGGACAGGGGCAGGGAAAAGCCTTGGGAAGCAGCTGGATCCCGAGGAAGGTACTGGGAATTCCACTGGGCTTTTCCCCTTGGAGCAACTCCCGTGGGATCAGAACCCATTCCCTGTTCCCAGGGCAGTGATTCCATGGGATCAGCTCCCATTCCCAGGGCAGTGATTCCCATGGGATCAGNATCTGGGGCTGGGGATCCAGGTGGGATCCAGGTGTGGGAATCCAGGTGGGATCTGGGGCTGGGGATCCAGGTGGGACATGTTGGGAATCCAGGTGGGATCCAGGTGTGTGTGAAAGGTCTGGGGGCTCCAGGTGGGATCCAGGTGAGACCCAGGTGGGCTCCAGGTGTGATGCTCCAGACAAACCCCTGCCTGCCCAGGTGTCGGGAAGCTGCGGAGCTTCCCTGTGTCCTGAGGGAATTTGTGTCTCCACAGGCGGCCCCAGCCAGGAGCAGGATGGCAGGTGAGTCCCTCACCTGGATCCCCGGGAATGCCGGGAGGGAGGGGAGGACATGGGGGCAGGTGGCAGCTTTTGCCACCTGCCTGGGGAGGCCACCTGGGCTCACCTGGTCCCACCTGAACTCACCTGGGATCACTGGACTCACCTAGTCCCACCTGAGCTCACCTGGGATCATCTGAGCTCACCTGGTCCCACCTGGGCTCACCTGGGATCATCTGAGCTCACCTGAGATCACCTGGTCCCCCCCAAGCTCACCTGGGCCGTGTCATGTCCCAGATTCCGTGGAGGACGTGCTCACGGATCTCCTGGGATTCGATGGTAAAATGGGACCCTCTGGATCTGCCCCGGGATCACCTGGGGGGGATCATCTGAGGGGCATCACCTGTCCTGGGATCACCTGGGGGGGATCACCTGTCCTGGGGTCACCTGTCCTGGGATCACCTGGAGGGAATTCCCCATCCCCCCGATCCCAAGGCCCTCCCTGACCCTCCCTTGTTCCCAGAGGATCCTCCGGTTCCCCCTTCCTGCGGATCCCGACTCACCTGCGCCCAGGTGAGCTCCAGGTGAGTGCTCAGCCCCTCCCACCCCCCATCCCAATCCCTGATCCCAAACCCCTGATCCCAAACCCCTGATCCCAAATCCCTGATCCCAATCCTTGATCCCAACCCCGTGATCCCAATCCCCGATCCCACTCCCATGATCCCAAATCCTTGATCCCAACCCCGTGATCCCAAATCCCTGATCCCAATCCCTGATCCCAATCCCTGATCCCACTCCCATGATCCCAAATCCCTGATCCCAAATCTCTGATCCCAATCCCTGATCCCACTCCCGTGATCCCAATCCTTGATCCCAATCCCTGATCCCAAACCCCTGATCCCAGTCCCTGATCCCAATCCCTGATCCCAACCCCCTGATCCCAAACCTCTGATTCCAGGCCCATGATCCCAAATCCCTGATCCCAATCTTTGATCCCAATCCCTGATCCCAAACCCCTGATCCCAATCCCTGATCCCAATCCCTGATCCCAAATCTCTGATCCCAATCCCTGATCCCCAATCCCTCTGATCCAAACCCCCGATCCCAATCCCTGATCCCAAACCCCTGATCCCAATCCCTGATCCCAAACCCCTGATCTCAAATTCCTCTGATCCCAAATCCCTGATCCCAATCCCTGATCCCAAACCCCTGATCCCAATCTTTGATCCCACTCCCATGATCCCAAACCCCTGATCCCAAACCCCTGATCCCAATCTTTGATCCCACTCCCATGATCCCAAACCCCTGATCCCAAACCCCTGATC